ACCTTAGTGAAAAAGTCAGCAAATCCTTATCACAAGATTAGGTCATTTTTAAGGACTGTAGAGGTTCGCTTTGAAATGCACATTCTTACTCAGTAGATCTGGAGTTAGGGGTGTATGAGATTCTGCATTCCCAGTGGTGGCACTGTGGTGTTGAGGGCTAACTGAAAGGTCAGCAGCTCAAAACTACCAGTTTCTTCCAGAGAGAAAGAAGCTTTCTACTTCCCTACATTCATGATAACCCATCGGGGCCAGTTCTACTCATCCTGCAGGGTCACTATGAGTCAGCATCAACTCAACTGGAAGGGAGTGAGTTTGCTTTGGGGGTGTGGGGAGAATGCCATTATGAGATGTGCCACTGCAACTGATCCTCAGAGCTCAATTTCAGTAGCATTGGTGTAGGTTAAAGATCAAATTCAGAGGAAATTTTATATATGTTTGCATATTTATATATGTTACACTATTTTATATAACTCATATTCATAAAAGGGAGCCTTGGAGCTACAATGATTAAAGTGTTCAGCTGCTAGCCAAATGGTTGGTGGTTTGAACTCACCAGCATTCTGTGGGAGAAAGATGTGGCAGTCAACTTCAGTAAAGACTGATAGCCTTGGAAACTCTTCTGGACCCTTGTGATCTGTCCTGTAGAGCTGCAGTAGGTCAGGATGGACACAAGTCGGGAGGTGTTGATTTTTTAAAATGCCTACTTATTACAGGAGTACTGGTAGCATAGTGGTTACTCATTGGGCTGCTAACGACAAGATCAGCAGTTCAAAACCACCAGCCACTCTCCAGGAGGAAGACAAGGCTTCCTACTCCTGTAAAGTTACAGTCTCAGGAACACAGAGGCAATTAAACCCTACTCTCTAGGGTCGCTGTGAGTCAGGATGGCAGTGAGTTTGGTTGGGTAAAACTCAATAAATACATAAAGATAGAACAAATATAACCAGATTGAATGTGTACAAAATATTAAGGTTTTGTTTTCTTTTATCCATCGTATTTTTTCTTGCAAACATCCACCAGCACTTTTTATCAAGTGCTAGTGACCGCCTAGGAGAGTGAGAATAGAAAGTCAAATGTAATGAGTCTCAAAAGAGGCAGAGGCTGTGGACAAAGGGCTTGAAAGGAGGTCAACACTTGTTTGATCCATGTTGGCTCCTGAGATATTTTTCTAGAGTAACTGGAATGGTGAGGTGGCTTTTGGTAGTCCCTGCTGTGCTTCATCCACCCATTACAATGATTTGAGGTGATTTGATTTGGGGGTGATGTGGTGGTAAAACAAAAGATCCCAAACCCAGGCATTCCGAGATTTATTGGTACTGAGGATGCCCATTTGAAAGCATACCCAGGGCATTGTAAATGGGAAAGGACTGCTTATAAGTGTACAGGATGGCACAGGCATTGGGTGAGCATTTATTTATGTATTTTAATAATTAAAAAACACACACCAAACTTGTTGCTGTACAATCACTTCCAACTCGAGGAAACCCCATGAACATGGGGAGCGCTGGACTGCTCTCCAGAGTTCGCTGTTGTTGGCTTACTGTCATGTTTACAAGGGCAGATATGTTAGGCCTGTCTTCCTCAGCACCACTGAGCAGGTGCAAACCACCAGTCTTTAACTTATAATTCGTGCTACCCAGGAACTTTTCTTCTTCTTCTTCTTTTTTTCTTTTAACCTAAAGCAAATTTAAAAATAGAAACAAACAAACAAAAAAGAAAGACCATCAGCAAGATGGATTAATAGATTGACCACAACAATAAACCCAGGTGTAACAGCAACGTGAAGATAAGTGCAGCGCTGCACTATGTTTTGTTCTGTTGTACACAGGGTCAAGGAGTCCCGGGCTGCTAACCACAAGGTCTGCAGTTCAAACCCACCAGCTACTTCATGAGAGAACCATGAGGCTCGCTGCTCCCATAAAGATTTCCTACCTCAAACATGCAAAGGGGGCAGTTCTATGGTGTCTTATAGAGCCGCTATGAGTTGGGATCAACTCGCAAGCAGTGAAGTTTGGCTTTTTGCTTTGGTACTTCAGTCACCATGAGATAGAACTGACTTAAAGGTGCCTACCAACAGCAAAAGGAATAAAATCAACTCACACCTCTGTGGATTTAAAAAGTTAAACTGACTTGAACAAACTGAAAATAAATTGGGCCTATTCTGCTTTTCTAGAGGACAGGGTATCAGATTTAAAACCCCACAGAGAAGACACGCTAACCCAACCAGAGCCTGAAGAAAATACTCAAAGCTTCTTTCTCCAAGGAGAAACCTTGATGCTATAACAATGGACAGCCTGTTGCTGCTAGCACAAGGCCAGTGGGTTCAAATTCATCACCTGCTTCTTGGGAGGAAAATGAGGCAATCTCTTCCCATAAAGATTTAGTCCCAGAAGCCCTTACAAAGCAGTTCTATGCTGCCCTATAGGATATCTATGTACCAGAATCAACTAGATGGTAGTGAGTTCGTTGACTGGCACCTCTGAGGAGAATCTGGCAGTCTATGAGATCTTTCCAAAGAGATGGATTGACACAGCGGCTGCAACAATGGGTTCCGGTGTGGGGATGATTGTGAGGATGGCGCAGACCGGGTGTTGTTTCACTGTGCTGTGCATAGGGGTGCTGTGAGTTGGAATCAACTCCAAGATGCCTCTCAACAACATGAGACCTTTCAAAGACTGACACTGAAGCCTTTGAGGCTTAAGATGAGTCATTTCAGGAGCTTGGGGCGTGTGCTAATTTATTAAACACTGGGGGAAAACAAGAGATAAATCCTTTCTTTTAGGAGTATAAGGCATCACAGTAACAACAGTTTCTCTGGGTTTCTTGTGTTGGATGTTGTCTAGATGTTTTGTTTTGTTTTTTAAATTAAATAAAGGCAGAAAGCCTGGTTAGGAGGAAAAGCAAACTAACTACTAATAACAATAATGACAACAACAAAAGCAATAGTTCATGTTAAGCATTCTTCTGTTTGGAGGTGCTGTTTTAAGCAGTTCTTACTCTTTGGGAGAGAAAAGACATCTCTGAGGTAGATACTATTTATTATCCCCATTTGACAGACATGGAAGAACATGGAGACTAGACACCCTGCCCAAGATCACAGAGATGGTGAGAGGCGACGCCGGGTTTGAATCCAGGAGGTTGACTCAGTTCAGCCACAATAGACTGAAGAGTGGTAGTGGTTTGGCTCAATGTTGAAAAGGACTTTCATGGAGGAGTGGGTGCAAGGGTATATGACTCACAACCCAATTTTAAAACTCAGGCCTGAAATTCATGAAGTTTACATTTTATATGCCAGGGATGCTAACGAAAACAGAATATGAATTTGAAACGGATTTGGGTAGCAAATGTACAATAGTCATTGATATGATTAAACTGTGAAATGGTGTGATGTTCTAGATTAGGTCCTTGAGATAGTAAAGGTTTATTGTGCCAACCTGGCTGATAAAAACATGTGGGATTAATTGAAGGATGGAGAGCTAAATGGCTCAGTGAGTCTTGCCTTTCTGTTTTCTCAGGTCTCTTGCTTTCTGATGGTTGGACCAGGGTGTAGCTGCCTTAGCCAGTTCCCTGCTTCAGCTGGCAAGGATCACTACCTGCAAGACATCCCTGAGGAGAAGCCGCATGGACCTACCCCAATGCAGCCCTGGGTGCTGGAGAAGCCATTCAGAGACCCCTGTCAGCGCTGAGATGCTTACACACTCACTGATTCAATTTTCCTCCTGCAGTCGGCATCATAGTGTGTGTTTTGTGAGATGGAAGAGGACTTTGTAGATCGATGTCGGACATATGGGCTAATGTTGGACTTATGGGCTTGGAGAGCACTGGGTTGGGATGCTTTCTGAATGTATACTTACCCTTTATATAAAAACCCTCTCTTATGCACATGTGAGTTTCTGTGGCTTTGTTTCTCTAGTCTACCCAGACTAACACAGTCCTAATAAAATGGGTTGAAAAAGAAAAAAGGGGTAGTGGGGAGATGAGTCACTTAGGGTACAGTATAGCAATAATGAAACCCACAACCTTCCTCTGGTTCTTAAATGCTTCCTCCCCCAACTACCAGGACCCCAATATTGCCTTGCAGACCTGGTTAGACCAGATGAAGCACAGCAGGACAGATGGGAATCAGAAACGCAGGGAATCTAGGACAGATGAACCTCTCAGGACCAGGGGTGACAGTGGCGATACCAGGAGGGAAAGGGGATGAAGAAAGGGGGAATGGATCACAGGGAGCTATGTATAACCTACTATCTGGGGGACGGGCAGCAGGGGGGTGGATGAAGGGAGACGCTGGACAGTGTAATATGATATAATAATAATTTACGAATTATTAAGGGTGCATGGGGGAGAAGGGAGGAGGAAGGGAAGGGGAGGGGGAAAAAGGAAAATGAGCTGATTCCGGGAACCCAAGAGGCAAGCGAATTTTGGGAATAATGAGGGCAACAAATGTATAGATGTGTTTTATACAATTGATCTATGTATTGTGATGAATTGTATGAGCCCCAATAAATTGATTTAAAAAAATAAATAAATAAAATAAATTAATTAAATTAAAAAAGAAAAAAGGATATGAGCCTTCCTACATGCTAAGCAGTTCTGAACAGAGATGACTCAAGTGCCAGGTCCTTCTGTCAAGTGAGAGGATCCAGGGTCTCACACCACTAGTGGTGATTTTTCCAGTGAACTTGGCCTGCTGTACTCACAGAGTCTAGTTCTTCTCAGAGAAGCCTGGGATGTCCTCAGCCATCTTTGTCTTTTAGTTTACTCTTCTGTTGACTTCTGGGCTCTTCCTTGCCTTTTGTTTAGGAGGGGCAGGGAGATAAACATATTCTGTGTTTATGGAGTAATCATGCAATCACTAGCCCTATGAATGACTAGCCCTATGACTCACACAAACAACGTGATCTCCCACTCTAGGATGGCTCACCTGTAAATAAGGGCAGACATACCCTGACGGTGAGCTAAACAATAGCCACAGCAATAATGACAACAAAACCAAGAGATAATATCAAGCATTTATTGTTTGCTAGGTCCTGTTTTAAGTCATTTTTACTTAATCCTGGGGGAGGGGGGGCCCTATGAGGTAGATACTATTTATTATCCCTATTTGACTGATAGGGACGGAGAAGTACATCATTTGATGGTCTTTTACTGGCATTTCAAGATCTAACCTGAAAACAGGCAGAGGAGGAGGAGCAAGTGAGGCCACTACTCAATCACTTTCTCTTCAAAAGCTAGGGTCCCACTAGCTTAATTCTCACAGTCTGTCCACTAGGACTTCCACTGTGGATAAAGTCAAATGATTTCTCTCTGGATGGAGTGTTTTGCTCCTCCCACATCCTCCGAACAGGCACAACGAGAGTCATGCTGGCAAAGAGGTAATAGAGATGGTGTTGATGAACAAAAGCAAAATAAAACAAGAAAAAAAGAAATGCTTCCACTACCTAAGGAGAGAATATTTTCAACAGCACCAGGAGAGATGTATTTACCAATCCAATCTTGACTACAAATCTTAGAGCTAAGTTAACTATCGATGGAGAAAGATGAGACATACACTTCACGGCAAGTAGACATCACGATTTGCCTGCAATAATTTGTTACAAGCAGTTTTTTGGTGTGTTTTTTTTTTTACATTAAGATCACTTTTAAAATGCACTAAATGTTAACATGCACTTACATACTCTCTGTGCTGAAATCCTTCTAAGGTAGCATTTCTGCCTTTCATTTTCTCCCTTCTTTTCCTAGCTGGGCACTATTCTTCACAGCACATCGGTAGGGGTGGGGAGGTGTGGGTGAGGGTGGGGAGGGGATGGTAAGGGAGAAAATGCAGGCCACAGAGTGATAGGAAAAGATCATTTGCTGGCTGCTTTGTTTTATGGAGATCCCCTGTCCCCAATCGCTCCAGGTCCTCTTCATCAGCTTTACAACAAATCTCTTCCCACTCACTCCCACCCTTGGCAGGAAGCCGATCACAACCTTCACTTCCGCGGAGGTCCTGAAGGAAAGGAGTTCAAGGTCAAGTAAAAAGCTACTGCAAAGTGAGAACGAATTCACCTCTGGCTTTTGGATTTCCACACTCCCACATCCCGCCAATTTGAAAGAGAACAAACAAACTTTTCTCCCTGTCTTCTTAAATTCTTCGTGCATCACGCTGGATTGTCGAAGTCACAAAGTGTTACTTTTCTTACAAGTCTACCAACTGACTGGGGTGGCGCCCTCTGTCACCCTTAGGGGTGCACCGGGTTCCTAAAAGTTTTTCTCCGACAGTTAAGTTTAGGCTGCAGTTCCTGGAAGAGTGTCTGTAGTCCTTGCTTTTCCTTTAAGGGTTATCACCGATCCACCAAAGCAGCACAGTTTCCTACGGAATCTTCTCGGCGAGTCAGTGCGTAAAATGCCCCCGTCCGTGGCGGGGAGGCTGGGGTCTCCCTCTGGGCGCCTGGAGAAACGGGCGGGGGGTTCCCCAGCAGTCCGGGCGTCCCCCAAATGGCTTACACTCTGTGGGTGCGGAAAGTGACCGCTGTCACGGAGTGTTCCTCTGTCTTGGTGGTCATGCAGCCCTTCGTCCAAGCGGTCTGCTGCACTTCTTGTGTCCCGTGGTAGTCCACGACCCGCACCAGCAGGGGTGTGGGGCGCGCGGCGGCGGAGACCCCCTGGGCTCCAGACGCTGCGTCCCCGGGGCTGCCAGAAGTTCGAGGCTCTTCTCCAGGAAAGCCAGGTGGGCCGGCGGCTTCCTGGCAGTCTCCTCTGGCCACCTCTTCCGGCGCAGGGTCCCCCGGAGTCCCCAGCCACCTCTGGGGATGCAGGAGAAAGAGGACTTTCTCTCTGACCCAGGGCTCACAGTCCGGGTCCTCTCCAGCCCGCGCTCCCGGGGCCCCCGCCGCCGCTCGCTGCTCCAGGGCGCTGCCTCTGCGGCCGCCGGGCCGCGCCGGAGCCAGGGGGGCCCGGGGCCGCTGCTCCAGCGGGAACGACCCGGCGCGCTCCAGGCGGCGGGGTAAGATTCGGGGAGACCCCGCTCCTCGCGCCCCGAGGGCCCCCATGCCGTCGGGAGGCTCATTCATCGGCGATCACTTTCCGCAGGTCCCGCAGCGGCGTCCGTGGAGATGGCGAAAGCGCGGGGTGCTCAGGTCCGGGGTGTGGCCTCCCCGCCCGGGACTCCGCCCACTGGAACCCCGGCCTGGATCCGGCTGGGGCGCCCACCTCCGCTTCCTTCCCTCCCCTTTCCTCTGGCTCAGTTAAAGACCCCCTGAAAGTTAAACTTCAGCCCCCAGCACTGCTTTTCTCTTCTCCTCGTCGCCCACTGCCACCCCCGCCCGCTCGCCCTCCCAGTGCGTATTTGTGGTCCAATCCTTCACACCTTCCAATTTGACTCTGGTGTGGCACCATTCCGCATTAGGGGCAAAAGACCGCAGTGTGTGTTTGGGGTGGGTGTGGGGAGGGGCGCAACTCTCCGGGAACTAGAGGTTAGTAAAGCCTAACTTCCCAGGAAACAGCATTTCCTTTTCTATCTTTGTTCCTTCATGGGAAGGAACAAGGAAGTGGGGTGCGGGGAGGGGAGAAGCTAATCCTTCTGTAAAACGCTTCACCTGAATGCCTCCCCCCACCGTGCTTCCAGCATTATTCAAAGTAGGTCAAGGTCCAGTTGACAAAGTTAAAGCTTGCAGGAAACTTCTCTTTGCTTGCTGGGCCCTTTAGAATGCCAGGGGCAATATTTACGGAACTTTTATCCTGGTTTACGAAGCAATTCCGTTTTCAGTGGACGTACGCGTAGTCTCTCGCCATTGATTGCAATCCCCGCAGCGTAGCGGCGCTTATCTCACGTCCTCTGCGTATTTCCCGTCGCCTTTCCCCCTTCATCTGAGTCCTGTCCACTTCGTGGCAGTGGGTTGGTTTTTCCTTAGCCCATCCTACGTTCTGAACTCTGTCCCCTTGGCACCTCCAGAGGGTTACTGTTCACCTTAGATCTCTGGATTTAAACTCTCAGAGCGTTTCCCTCTTGATTATGGATTTTATTTAAAATATTTTGAATACCCTGAGGTTGGCATGCCTTCTGTGGGGACTGATCGGCTGCACCTTTCAGGTGGCTGCTTGTTTTAGGACAAGCCTTGAAGAGCTCGGACGCTATGCTTTCTGACAGCTGGCACGGTCTCATATCTTCACCACGCTTTACCATCGCCCGCATTGCTCAGTGATGCTGTCAATAAAAAGGTTAGTCCACATTAGAGGAACTACTTAGTTGTTAAGTAACTAGGGGGCCTTTGAAGCTGGGACTTCTCAGATAAGTTTGTTTGTTCTTTCGGCAGCCCATGGTAGTTTCAACGTTCTTTGCCAGCACCATATCTGAAATTCATTGTTCTTCAGTCTTCCTTATTCAGTGCCAATTTGGCGTACTATGGAGACTATGTGTGTGTTGCTGCGATGGGGGAACTCATGTTCCTGGTATTTCAAATGCTAGCGAGGTCACCCAAAGTGAACAGGTTTCAGCAGAGCTTCCCCACTAAAGACAGACTACAAAGAAGGAATAGGCTGTCCACTTCTGTAGACAATCTTATAGATTGCATCAAACCTTCATAATAGAATGTACTAAATTCATGACTCAGATTCTAGGAAAGAAGCTAGATAAGACATGGCTCAAAAAACATTAGCCTATCAATGTAAACCCCATCAGACACAACAATGCCCACCCATAAAGCACAAAGCAATAACTCTAATCTACCCAGGGATGGTCTTAAGTCCACAGAAATTAAAGTCATGTAATAATAACATGTGATAATACACATAATTATAAGCTATATACAAAGTCCAATGGTTTTGTCTGGACTCATGTAATCTTGTTCCGTGATCTTGGGATGAGCTTCTGTCTTTTATGCACCCTTCTACTCTAGCCATGGACTAGCTGAATAATGTACTAAGAATTGAAGGTGAAGACCAGCTGGCTGGTCCTGAGTAGATAGAGCTACACAGGAATGCTTAAAAATTAATTTTTAAAAAGAGCCAAGTCTAGGACACACAATATGTGCCCAGGCCTCTATTATCAATTTTTTATAAAAAGATTATAGATGTGGTTGCTTGTATTACTCTTTACCTGCAGTTTAAGCTGTCCCATAGAGAATCTACTTGTGGCTTGTATTCTGCAATGGGAATGGCCTTGAAATTACTCAATATTTCCAAGGATAAGGGAACATTCTGTTTCCATATCAACCAGTGTTGGAATTTGTGTAACTGAAAAATGCAGCTTTCTTCTTTCTTAAAAAGATGCTGTCTCAGAAACCCACAGAGACAGTTCTACCCTGCCCTACAGGGTCACCATGAGTCAAAATCGACTCAATACTGGGTGGTGAGTGAGACAGTCACCTTAAACAGGAAATCTCTAGTCCCCCAGCAAAGCTCTGAACTGTAAGGTGACTCTCTCACTCCTAGTTTCTGGAGACTATCAGTGTGCACCTGGAAACAAGAGGCTGTCCTCATGGTTGAGAGGGAGTTAGTTGGACCCAAAGGGTGGTAGTGGTGCTCTGTCTTCAGCTTCTGCCAAAATTGTATGAACTACGGTTGGTTACTTCTTACCTATTGTCTTCACAGCAACTAGTGAGCTCTCAGGATATCCTCAAAGGACATTGGACAGTTGCCCACCATATCTGTTTCTTTATTCTTTTCTTTCTTTCCCCCTCTCTCAGGCCCCTTCCACCCCGTTTTCTTAGGCTCATGCCCATTCTTTCTAGCCATCTCACATCTATGCAATTCTGCTGCTTCTAGCTGCAAATTGCATACTGCCAGATGGTGGGAGTTAAGCGCTCTCTCTGTCTCTCTGTCTCTCTCTCTCTCTCTCTCTCTCTCACACACACACACACACACACAGGTTTTGGCAGCAGGTACCACCCCACATAGTGCCCCTCCTAGCTATTTACCCTCTTCATGGAAGCAGCTATACAGAATGTCAGCCAAGGCCTTACACATGACTGCCATCTATCTCTTTTAGACTGAAGATGATGAAACTTAATAGGACCATAATTAACTCCTAATAATAACACCTTTTAAAGGTGAGAAATATAATCAGATTTAATTATAAAAGAAATGTAAAGCCAAATAAAGTCAGTTCAAAAACTTTAAACCCAAATAGCTCTAAATATAAATGATACCCCTTTCCCCACAAGCCTTTAGATATGCCACATAATAATCTTGATTCTCTCTCTCTCTCTCTCTCTCTCTCTCTCTCTCTCTCTCACTGCATTTAAATATAAATGTGGTGAAGAAACTAGATGGTGCCTGGCTATCAGAAAGAATAGTGCCTTGGGTCTTAAAGGCATGCCTTCAAACAAGCAGCCATCTAAGTGGGATGTCATACTAAGCTCACACGGAAGAAGCACACCAACATGTGTGATCCAAGGATTGTAAATCATTTAATCCAAATCTGAAAGAGGGAGTGGTATCAGAGTTTAAATTGTGAATGCTTGGGTTTCAGAAGGTGATAGATGACAGTGAAAGTGCAAAATCCATTTGCTGCGTCCACATACAGATCAAAACTCTCTTTAGAAAAATTTAGAAAAAAATTGTTGGCAAGGAAAAAGAATTGTTGATTGGGGAAGGGGAAAACTATTTGCTGAGTAATAAGACAGGCCCACCCATGACATACTATTTGAATTTCCAAATGCCCAGAAATTACGTATTATTGCATAAAAGAACATTAAGAGAAAATGTTAAAGTAAATCCACCTTTCAGTCTCTCTGTAGTAGAAAACGTACCAGAGAATTGGCAACTTGCATCCTGGATAGTGGTCTGTGCTATCATTCGTATTTTGTGCCAATTTTGCTCAAGACAGTTTTAACATGGCAGCAGTGAAATGTCAGAACTCCAAGTCGAATTCAGCAGAGATGATAGAAGGAAGGATACTGCTGCAGCTTTGAGAGGATTCTTGACTTGCCGCAGAGAGCACCAGAAAGATGTTTTCCTTGTTTTGTTGGCTAGGTAAAGGTGCTCAGCTGTATGGATCACAACAAATTTTAGGTAACATCGTGAAGAATAGAAATTTCAGAACACCTCATTGTGCTCACGCAGAACCTGTATACTGAGCAAGAGGCAGTTGCCTCAACTGAACATAGGGATACTGCTTGATTTAAAATTGGAAAAAAATTATATGTCAGAGTTGCATCCTTTCACTATATCTATTCAATCTGTATCCTGAAAAAGTACGTTAAAAAACTGGACTTCATAAAGAAGAACAACATCAGGATCTGAGGGAGATTCACTAAAAGCCTGCAGTATGCAGATGAATACCGGTGCTTGCTGAAAGTGAAGAGGACTTGAAGCCTTTACAGACTAGACTGCAAGGTTTTCGTATGAATGACACATCAACATCAAGCAAACAAATGTCACAAATGAGCTAATTCCCAACATCAGATAAATGGAGAAAACCTTGAATTCGTAAAGGATTTCATTTCGCTTGGGTCCACAATCCACGCTTGTGTGGCGAGAGATCAAGTGAATATTGCACTAGACACATCTGCTTTAAAAGACCTCTTTAAGGTGGGAGAAAGCAAAGACATCATTTTGAGAACTTGGGTGCACCTGGCCCAAGGCATGCATTTTCAGTTGCATTATACACGTGAGAAAGGTGAACAATGAATAAAGAAAAACAAAAAGGACTTTATGTCTTAAAATGATGGCGTGGGTGAAGAACAGTGACAATATCTTGGGCTGCTATAATGAACAAACCTGTCTTGGAAGAGGCACGGCCAGGATACTACTTAGAAACAAAGTAGGCAGACTTTGTATCAAGTGTTTTGCGGTGTTGTCAGGAGAGACTAGTCCCTGGAGGACATCATACTTGCTAAACAGAGGGTCAGAAAAAAAGACCTGCACTGAGATGGATGGACATGGTGGCTGCAACATTTGGTTCAAGTACAGAAATGGTAATTAGGATGGTACAAGACCAGGCAGCATTTTGTCCTGTTATGCAAGCATCTCACTGCCCTCCAATCAATGCGGACTCTTGTGACCCTCTGTGAGTTTCTGAGACTACAACTGTTTATGGGAGTAGAAAACCCAGTCTTTCTGCCAAGATGCT